CAAAAAAATAGCCAAACAAGACCACTCCCAGCAACTATGCTACCAGTTCTTCCAGGCTTTGATACAAGTTATGGATGAAATAAAAGTAACCCAACAAAGCATGCTTGGCTCCACACACCTCTCACTGTCAGAGCAGATTTGTTCTTTTGGTTAGTTGGATGTTTGTACTAAGAGACAAGAATTTTCTGTATACCCACAAGTTTCTTTGGGCAACTCTCCTTGAGTGTAATCCATTTCCCTATTCTCTGCATTGCCCCTAGCCAATGCAACCTCACACACATGGCTGGAAGAAAATAGTAAAAAGCAAGTACAAATTAAGCCTGTCCTATGGATGCTGATGTTCAGTGGCTTGTATTACCCACCTAGAAGTAAGATGGTCTTTTCATTTTTGCACCTGTCTACCAGGCCATTAAACTGTGCCCACTGCATTAGCTCATCAAAGCCCCTTCCAGGAATAAAGAGTGGTACTGCCTAGCTCTCTTCAGAAAGTAGAATTGAAAAAACTGAGATTAGTGTATATGGCCAGATCATAGTCAAAAAGACTCCAGTCAAGCAACTGACTGTGAAGCCTAAGGTCATTCTTACCTCACTCTTGTGGAAGATCAGGTAGACTTTGTTTAGGGATCTGCCTATGGTTGCTGTTCATGGGCACTTTCCTTATTCATTCTCAAATTGCATAAATTTAGCAAAGCAGCCAATGTAGATGTCAGTCACAGAAAACACATAGTGTCTTGGGTTACAATCTGTAGTGAATTCCACAGTCATGTCAGAGAGATCCTGCAAGGTGTGCAGAACAGCTCACAGTTGTTCTGTTCCAGCCTTACAGTCCTGTTCACCTCTCACAGCCTTTTCATGAGGAGTGGACATTCATACTACATTTTATGGGACCACACTGGTGCATGAGCTCTCCTTGCACCTGGATGGGCCCTTCCGACATATGTGCTTCTCCCAACAAGTCTGGAAGGTTGTATGGTCTGCCAGGCCATGTTTAGGTGACCAAAGCAGATCTGGCACAGACCTGCACTAGTGTATGGACTGCAGCACAGCATGGATTATTCCTGAGCAGGGATAAACTAGCTGGCATCTAGGCTTCCCACCAAGCGACTTTGCTAGTTTGTTCCAGAGCAAACCGCAGTGGGAATTATGTCTGTGGCAAGGATGACAAAAGACTGACAGCCTAGTGCAAAACATAGTAACTACACCTATAGACTTGTAGGGTCTAAACTACGTTATCAGAGTTCTGAACTGGCATCCTGCTTTTTTCTGCTGCCCTCTGACCATGACTCTCCCTGTATTTTTGCCTTTTCCTTTATTGTGGACAGGATTTCCGTATCTTTGCATACATGATGTTGCCATCATCAGCATCTCCTCACCCTCAACTCTCCCTTTGAGGGCAGCAGGGCCATACTGTGGTTGGCAAGGAGTCAGGAAAGGCCACGTTCTGCTTCACTGCCCTGAGTGAGACACCAACAGTGCCAGCATTCTTGGATGCCAGCCAGGGGTGCAGTTCCCTAGGATGCAGCTTAAAAAGCTGGGGTCTGTCCTACCCAACACTGCTGAGCTGACCCCAAGCTACCACGCTACATCACAGGAGATGAGCTGCGCTGTGTCTAAAGGAAACTGGCAGGATAGCAGGTGAACATGGCCCAGGGACGGTCTATAAACACAATTAAAAGTGGCAGCAGTTGGCATTTATATAAGGGCAGATGCTATTCTTACCCATCTTGTTTGGTTCCTCACACCCCAAATAGCCCACTGTGAGACTACTGGAGGAGTAAGGTGTCACTGAACAACAGCCACAGCACGTGGTTTACAGCACTTCCAGAATCCAAGTCCAACCCAGCAAAACAGAGGCAAGGTCACTGCATAATGTTTACTGAAATGGAGCTGTGCCTCCATTTGCTGCATCCACATTTGTTTCTTTATATGCCATTTGCTTTACAAATACAATTGTATTTTCTCTTCCAGTTTTCTCTTCCTAGAGAGCTACCCTACATTATTCCTGATTTAGACTGACATAAGCAAAATCAAGCACACTATATTTGAAGACTTCTCCCAGGCAACTGCAAAGACAAACTCGTTTTTCAAATTCATTTCCCTCTAAGCTACTTTAAAAGATATCATGTATTTTCAGTTAAAAATGTCACGGTAATCCATAAAAAGAACTCATTACTTCAAACAGTTCAAATCAGGCCCCAAGCAGTATGAATAAGAGAAGATGAAATACACTCAAGTAATCAAATAGCCATTTAGGTAATCACTTGCATTAGCAAAATAGAAAACACTGGAGGGAAGAGATGATAAATAAGTGGGGGGCAAAATACGGAAGTTGGATTTGCTCTCCGTGCTTCCATGTGTCATACAGCAAAGTCTTGAATAAAAGCAAAGACAATAAATACAAGGGAGTCCTAGAAATAAAAATATAAACTCAGTGGAGACTTGATACAAACTTCAAAGAACACTTTCTGGGGTTTTTAATGTTTTGCATTCATACCAACATGGCATATTTTACCTTAGTACTAGACTGCAGACATGGACCCCAGAATATCATGTGTGAATGTTCTTTGCCTTATCTTTTGTAGGGAGCAGGTTCTAGATATTTTCTGCCTACATTTTTTCTTATTAAACAGCCAAATGTAAAAGGCAATGTTTACCATATTTAAATACAGAATGTTCAAGTTTATAAGGCTTAAACCGTATCTGTGGCAGCAAAATTATTCAGTGCTCAAGTTACGCTGTGTCCCCCTGCTAACTCTTTACTAAAATTGGTGCCCCATGGCAGAGAAGCAAAAATCTAAATCCCTGCATTAAGGTGTCATAAATCACAGTACAGCATACTCAGATTACATGAGGATTCATACAGGCTTTTAAAAATTTGCGTAGTCAGGATGAACAAGCTAACTGTTCCTAAGTTAATAACCATGGCATCTCTTTGAGGCAGTGTTCCTTCTGGCCTGTGCCCAGTCAGCTTCTTAAAAGCAGAAAATACGTTCTTGTGTTCAACACTTAACAGTGACAAAAGTAAAAACAAAGAGTCAAAGCCTTTTTACCTAGGGCACCTTGGCTTCTTAAGGATGACAAATTAAAAGTACAAAGATCACACTCCCTTAAAATAAGATGAATCAATACAGATGGGAACTCAAAGAAAATAAACTCACAATACTAGTTACTTGATTTTGTCTTTTCAATTTTGATTGTGCCTCCTTGAATACTCAAGTGCAGCTGAGGTTGAAATCAACTTGGGCAGAGCAGTACAAAGCACATGTATTTTCACATGGGTACCTAGCTTTATTACTTTCATGAAAAAAATTCTCAAAAAGTTCTCCTGACCTATATGAAATATTTCTCCTATATGAAATATTGCATTTAGAAGTTTAATAGACAAGATTATTCTCTTCTTGCTTAGAAAAAGTCTGTTGCACTACTACTTCTCTTAAAGGTCCAAACTGTTAAATAATACATAAACTGATTTGAAATTTGGGTCCAAGGATTAATTCCATCTCCAGTTATTTTATTTTTTTTACTTACTTCTGCTCTACCCTGTTCAAAAAAAGTATTGATTAGCATGGCATTTGGCTGTAGAAATGGAAGAAAGCATAGATGGGCTGCAATAACCCGATTCCATGGGTAGCAGGAGTATGAAGAGGTTTAAGGAGTCTATGACCACTTTACATAGCACTTCTGAATTCAGACCAACATATCTAACTATACTACTATTTTAGCACCTACCCTCTAATGTAAGGCTATTTTCTAGTGATGGGCAGAGCTCAGCACGTGGGCTTGTTACATCTGAAGCTACATAACGCAGTTATTTCATATTTTTCCCACTGTAAAAGACAGTACTTAACAGGAGACGTTTTTGATTACCAGTCTAGCAAGGTTCTGAGGCAGTGAGAATACTTCTCGTTCACAAGATTTTTCAAGTTTCAAGCACTAAGTTATGTGATTCTTCACATAGAGAAATAGGCTTCCTTTTCATCTGTCCATCCTCCACTTATTTCAGGTTACTTCCTCATGAAATGTTTTCTTAGACATGCTATATACATACCACTCAAATAGTAAGTGAACGAGGCAGGCAGGCAATCACAGACTTCTCTTTCCATCTATAAGGGGACTGTTTTGCCTTGCACACTAAATCTGAAAGGACAGGAATGTAATAAAAATTATCCAAGTAAAGGATAGAACTTTGAGCCGTTTACCTGAGACAAGACAACATGATTTACGGGGAAGAAGGCCTGAAATGAAACTATACTCTAGCACTGTCCTAGAAATTTTGATAAGCATAAGTGAAGGGAAAAGTTCAAGTTTTTGCAGTAAGAATTTCTGGTTCAGTCAGGAATAGATGGTCCATCGAGAGCTAGTTGAAAGCATGTAGCCTCAAAACTGTTTGTTGAGAAGGAGTAACCTAGAAAGGAGATGAGCTACCCAACAGCTTAAGTACTTGGAGAGAGAAAATGTAACAGATAAATTGTGGAACTGTTCCTTGATGGGGCAAAAGGCATAGTCATGAGGCAGGTCAGATGACTGATGAGCCGTAGAATTTAAAGTCTGTGAGAAGCAAGCTTACTAAATACAACTCCGCATAAGGCACATGGGTGAGGAAGACAGGTCATGAGAAAGAAGAGTGAAAGCTCTGTTATTACAGGCATGAAACAGGTCACCCATTATACAAAGAAAGTCTTAGTACCATAGAAGGTTCCTAAAGAAGACTTGAAACCACATGCATTAAGGTATCACAAGCTCAGTAAAAAGTAGTTCCATAGCCAAAAAAAGATGCGTTC